GAGAGTTCTTAGCCTTTACTTAGGTTAGCCCTAGGTTTTGGCAGGGAAAGTCAATCTCTTCGGTGCAGGACAGGGACAGGGGAATGGCGCCCTGTGGCGTCATGCAAGGCAGCTGCCATTGATAATTGGGTTATTTCACCTGGTTCCCCCTGTTACCCTGCAATGGGAGGACATGGCCAGGACGGGAGGCACTGCTTGCCTAAGGCCACACAGCACAGTTGTGCAGGGATGGCCTTGAACCATCACCCTTCACGGAAAGCGAAGGGGTGTAGGGCTCCCTCCTGCAGGATTCAAGTCCCAGGGCTCCTCTGCAGTAGCTCCTGCTGGAGTTGATTCTGAGACACACCTGGTGCTGGCATCCTAATGAGACTTGAGAAGTGCAGGGAGGAGCTGCCCTGGGGGCAGTGGGCAAGGAGATGTCTCTTCAACTCCACGTGCCTGGGCCACATGGTTCAGGGAGTTTGGTCCATATGAGGTTGAGGACCATCAACTCAGCCTTAGTGACAAGTTCTGTGTATGGTGATGCTGGGTGATAGTGGGAGCCAACCAAAGAGAGGAGGGGGGAACTAGTTGCAAGTCTTAGTTTCAGCCCTCACCACCTGACTCCCAGACTCTCACCCACCTCGGTGGGCAGCACCACCACCCACCTGTCACCCAAGCCTTCTGAGGGGAGTCCTGAGCCCCGCTGCCATTTACTATTCCTATTCGATCCTCTGCTAGGAGACAATTTTTCCCTGGGTCTCTCATGTTTCTGCTAAGGAATTGATTGTTCTTTGTTTTGAACAATCTTTTCCAGGATGTCTGTGGACCCAGCAACCTTGGAATATATAATGTGTCCTCCTGGAATAGAGCACAGGCATGATCCGGCATGAGAAAGATAATGTGTCTCCCAGGAGCAAGAAGCAGGCTTGCTTTCTGCCTGTTATAAAAGACTTGGGTTCCCTAAGCTCAGGGTTTCTCTTCTGTAATCACCAACAGGGTGTTCAGATGTCACCTGGCCCATGACCCTGAGGGGATTTGGGACTCAAAGAATCAATGCAAAATACTTATACTCTGGTTTACTGTTAGTGCTGTGAGTAATAAGTTGTCCTTCATCTCTCACCTGGGAGTCTTGTGCCTTCTACCATCATCCAAGAAACTCTGGCAGGCCGACTGGTTAGCTTGCAAGTAGGGTACAGTCTTGGACCTCTTGCTGTTCTTGACAGCTTCCAACCTTGTCAGTTCTACCTCTACACGTTGCTGGCATCTTCCCACTTCTCTCCATTCTCAGTGCCTCAGCCACAGTCCAGGCTGCCACACCTCATTCCTGGAGACTTTACTGTGGTGGGTTCCTGTCTGACTCCCACTGCTTTTGCTCCCTACTTCAAATGCTTCGTGCAGCCAGAGGGACCGTTCTGAAGTTCACAGGGATCTGGTTGCCTGCTGCCTCAACTCTTCAGTGGCTTCTATCATCTAACAGAATATTCCTTGACCCTGTGGCCCTTGCTGACCTTACCACCTGCTTTGTGCTCCTCCCAGCACCCTACTCTATGCTCTAGTAATACCGAATTGTTTAAATCCAGCTGTTCCCTCTGCTTGGACCATCCTTCACACTCTCCTCTAGGGAAAAGTCCTACCCATCCTTCAAAACTCAGTTCTCTGAGGCCTTTGTGAAGCACCAGGGACTTAGTGCGACGGTGTTGGAGACACCAAGGGTAGGTGGGTGGGGGAGGTGCAAAGGCAGAGGACCTAGTGGAGGGACTTTGAACGCTGCACCTTCCAGACCCCAGCTCTGGTCAAGTAAACCAGTGGGTGCCCAGGACTGCCCCGGGCAAAGGTCACCACTTGCATTCCAGGGACTCAGATGGCAGGCTGCCAGGTTGGGTATGTTGTGCCCTGCACACGGGTGCCTGGCCAAGGGAGGGAGTGAGGACTGAAATCACACTGTGTGCAAGGCCTGGGTGGCACCTGCCCTTCTGACCTGCTCAGAAGGGCCCTCTCCTCACGGAGCCCTGCACTCATGAGGCCTGCACATGCACCAGACGGTGTGCTTTTAAAGATTTCTCAAAGGCGTGACAGCCCCATCCTGCAGCTCCCTGGGGCCACCAGCTGAAACCCTGACAGAGAAGTAATGATCAAGGTTCTGGATTCTTCCATAATTCTAAGCCTTTGACCTAATTAATGGCTCCAGCATTGTCTCCAAGATTCTCCAGGCCTCTTGTGACCACCTGTTGCCTCTTGTGTCCGGAGGAGGTTCTCGGAGCAGAGCTGCCCTCTTTCCCCCAGGACCCATCCCTTTCCAGGACACTTGGAAGCACCTGTTCTCTTCCCAGAAATCGAAGATTCTTATGACTTTGATTAACTTTAGTTAATCTCTTTAGTCTCTCCTTTCCCCTCAGACACCTAGCTGCCCCTCCCCACCCCGAGTGCCCCCCCCCCGCCGCCCCCCCACCCCCCCGCCAGCCCAGCGCAGCAATCCCTGAGGCAGCAGAAGACGGTAGCCCGCCCGGGACCTGACTGCTGGTCTCAGGGTCCTGACCCCTGGCAGGCTAAACATAACATTTTGACCCAAGTTCCAGTTCAGTCCCTGAGCCCAAAGGTCAACCAACCCCTGGCTACTTTCCCATGAAACCAGACAAAGGGACATGGGGAAAGACCTCAGAACTCTCCTCAAGACCTGAGGGAATGAGTTATTACCCTGACCTCACCTCCAAGCAATAAGTTCCCAGCACGACCCAAACCCCTAAACAAGGGTGTCTTGTGATTTTGCCCTATACGATCTGTACCCTGCGTGCCATCGGGGAGTTCAGCCTTTGAGCATTAGCTTCCCGACTCCTGGGCAGCTCCATTCGCAGTGAAACACCCAGCATTTCTCCCCACAGTGCTCAGAGGTCAGTGTTTGGCTTGGCCAGCGCCGGGCAGGCAAACTCTCTTCTATAACACCTCTAAAATGCCACTAAGATCTGAGAATACAGGTCACAACCTCATCCCTCCGCTTTGTGACCAGGGACCAACCTTTGGAGAAATGCAAGAAGAATGGATGGGAGTGGGGGCTTAGGTAGGGCCCTCAGGTTTGGGCAGCTGGGTCTTCCCTCTGCCTCCAAACATTTTGTCACCCGTGGCCATTGGGGTCAAGATTTCCATTTCCCAGGCCTTGGATACTCGGGGAGTTGGAAGAACGTGGGGAGGGCACCCTGTTTCTGTCCGCGCTGACTGTGGCGGGCCCTGGGGTCCTTCTCCAGTGCTGCTGCTGAATTCGTGGAGTGGGTGTCCCTAAGTGCAGTCCCCAACCAGGGAGTGGATGGAGACTGCAAGACAAGTCCCTGGTTTTCTTGCAGTGAAGGGGGAGGGACGCAGGTAAAGGGAAGTCTCTTGTGATACTCAGGTTCCCATAGTAACTGGGCTCCCACCCTGCAGTGTCTGTGAGGTCATCCTGCCTCTCCCAGCCCGAGGGTGGGGGGAGGGCAGACCTGGAGGCTGTCTGTCCCTTCAGATCCAGCCCTTTGGGGATCTGCTGCTGGCGGTGAAGCGCTCAGTGCGGTAGGTGCAGGTGGGGAGGAGAGGGGCCGGGGCCGCACACCTGGCCCTTCACAGCGACCTCAGAGCTGCTGGACCTGGTGGCCTGTCCTGAGCAGGACCAGAGCTGCTGGACCAGGTGACTGCCTGTCCCCTGCAGTAACCTAACAGCTCCCAGAAGCCCCACCCCAAGCCACAGTGCCAGAATTTTCTCATAGAGAATCGCTCCTGTGGGTGAGGCATTGCCCTTCTCATCCCTGGTTTTAAAGCATGGGAATGACCGGGGCCACATCTGTAAATCACAGCTGCTTGGTGGGCTGAGTTATCAGAAAAGGGTCCCCGAGGCCTGCTGCTGTGGCATTGAAAGGAGAGATTAGGTGGTGCGGTATAAAGAAACGGAAAATTGGATTTGGATCTTGGCTGCTCCACTGTTGAGCTGTGTGGCTTTGGGCAAATTATTCTACCTCTCTGAGCCTCCGTTTTCTCTCCTATAACTGATCTTACAGGATCACGTGGGATATATTAGGCTATTCTCTGGTCTCAAAATCATCAGCTGGTGGTAGTGGGGGGGAGGGCAGCTGCTGTTTCCTATCTCCATCCTAATTCTTCTCCTAGCTGGACTCCTGGGTCCCCTTCCTTTCCCAGTGTAGCTCTACCCCCTCAGCTCTGCTGAGCCCCCTGTGGCGGGGTGTGTAGCTAACCCCAGATTGTTGCCTCTCGCCCCGCCCTGTCCATTAGGGCTCCAGATGGTCCTGTGGTCAGGGACGCATGGGGTCCAGACCGGCGGGTTGCTCTTACTCAGGGGCTGGGGCCCTCAGGGCTGTGCGGAGGGGCTGTTCAGCTCCAGGACTCCAGCAAAACAGTCTCATTTACAGATTCTTTCCCCACCCAACCCCACTCTTCCTCCCAGTGGACGGCGGACATCATGTCCACTCTGTCACCCGGGACAGAAATCTGGACATCTTGGGTCCCTCCCTCTCCTTCACCCCTCTTAGTAGGTCAGCCATTAATTCTGTCACCGTCTCCCATGCCACACATCTCTCTGCCTCTAATGACACTGCCTTTGCTCCCAGCTGTCCTCATGACACCAAGAAGCAACTGATGGGCAGGGAAGCTCCAGAGCTCAGGAGAAGAAACTGATCTGGTTCAAATCCTGCAGGATTAGGAAGGGCTGAGGGGGAGGGTCACTCCTTCATAGTCATCATCATCATCATCATCATCATCCAGCTTCCTTCAGTCTGGAGTATTATAAATACTTATTTAAATTCACAGGAAAGAAAACTGAATATAATATGAGGTGCCTTTTAAGGGTCTCTCATGAGAATGGAGTCCTTAGAAGGAACAGACAAAGGCCATTCTTATGTGTGGGGAAACTGAAGCCTTGAGAGGACCAGGGCCTGGCCCAAGGAGGCCGGGCAGCGCCACCCACTGCGATAAAACTCAGGCAGGGTTCGTACCCCAAGTGAGTGACGAAGGGTGACGGTTGTCTCTTCCTCATCCTGCAGCTGGTCCAGAACCGGGTCCACCTCTACCATTTCCTGCTCTTGAAGATCATTCTCTTCAACCAGTGGCTGTCAGGGCTGGTCCAGGAGGCCCAGGGGTCCTGCGGCCAGCAGGCCCACCCACTGCCCAGGCTGGCAGCCTGCCCTGTAGACTGGGTTCTACGGGCTGGGCTGGCACTGACAGAGGGCCCTGTGTGGCTGGTGCGGAGGGGGCCCAGGCGAGTGTGGGCAGGCATGCTGGGCTGTGCCCGGGCCTTGGGCCTGGACCTGAAGTGGCTAGGTGCCTGGGAGCAGCTGGGCCTGTCTGTGACCACCTGGGTGGACCTTCTTCTGTCCTGTCTGCACAGCCTGATGCTGGCGGCCTTGCTGCTGCTGCTGCTGGCCTGGAGACTGTGCTGGAAGGCCCACTGCCTCAGCCTGGGCTGGCTGCCTAGCAAGGTAGGTGGGTGGGCTGGGTGCAGGCCAGGCTGCTGAGGACAGGCCTGGGGCACTGGGCATGGCCAGGGCTGGGCTGGGGGGCTAGCAGCCAGGCAGTGCAGCCAGGTGAGCTCGTGGTGGCCACCTGCCCCCTCTAGGCTCTGCTGCAGAAGCACGTGATGCTGGAGCCATTGGCACTGCTGAAGCGCCTGTACTGGTGGGTGGAGAGCACGATAGCGCCCACCTCTTGGCACTTGGCCTATCTCATCACTTGGACCACCTGCCTCGCCTCTCACCTGCTGCAGGCTGCCTTTGAGCACACAGCCCAGCTGGCCCAGGCCCAGGCGCAGCAGGCTGAGCCCCAGGGGGCTTCAAGGACTTTATATGAGTCCCCACTCCTTGAGTCCCTGGCTACTAAGCCTGGGCCAGTCCTGCCAGAGCATGGAAATCATGGAGAATAAACCCGTCTCTCTCTGCCTGTACTTGTCTGGTCTGGTATGGTCTGGCCTAGGGTCTCACCCTCTAACCCTTTTTCCTGATGTGCAGGAAAAGGGTGTGTGTGTGTGCACGAGAGTGCGAGCATGCACGTGTGCCCTAGGGCTGCCTCTGGGAAGGCAATCACATTCATTGAGCATCTGATACAGGGCAGATAACCACCTCAGACACTTCACACATGTAATTTGGTTTAAATCTCACAGCAACACAGGCATCAGGTTTGATTAGGTCAATTTTCCAGGTAAGAAAATTGAACCTCCGAAAGCTGAATAATCCCAAGGTCCCAGAGCAAATCAGGGGAGAAACCAGCAGATTTTTTGTTTCTCCGAATCCCTGCCTCTCTCTAGGTCCTTCCCTGGTTCTCAGGGTTGTTGGTGCCCAATGCTGCAGAGGAGATGGGTAGTTAGAGACTCTGGCCTTCGGGGGGTGCCAGGGTTTCATATTTCAGAGATTTAAAAAATTCCTTTGAGAAATAGTTACTCCTGAGCCAGTCTGTAGCTAGCCCATCCATTCATTTACACACTTTGCCACTAACTTTCCCACTTATCCCTCCGCCCAGCCACCCAGCCACCCATCCACCCATTCATCCACCCACTCTTCCGTCCATCCACCCACTCACCCATCCATCCACCCACCCATCCATCCACCCACCCATCCATCTATCCTTCAGCCTATGTGCCTTTCTCCGTACCCACAGACCCATCCACAGATCCATTTATCCATCCTCCCTTGCAAGAGGGAAACTTCTAGTACCTCAGCACTCACACCTAGCTGCCCGGTCCTGTGGAGGGATGGCTCAGGTTGCAGGGGTCAGATCTCCAAGACACCGCTTATGTGAGTGATACTGTGAGGGGGAAGGGATGGTTTTCTGAGAGGTAGCAATCAACTTCCACTCACTGCCAAGCCTGAGGTTGCTGTGAGTGTGGGGAGATGTTCTCAAGAGCTCTGCCCTGCTTTCCCCTTCTCCACTCTGGTTCCCAGGGATGTTAGGGCCAGATTCCCACTCTGCATCCCATATAGACCAGCAGATGGCCCAGATTGGGTGTGCAGTGAACTTCCAGGCCCTTCTTCCAAGTCTGAGCAGCAGGCCCAGCCTGGCCCTGGGGGAGGACTTGTGGAGGGCTCCCGTCTGGCCAGCGGGCAGAACGCCTGTTGCGGAGGGACCTGCAAAGCCCTGGTGAAGGGGGAGACACCGGCTGGGATTCCAGAGCACACCCCAACTTACAGGGCAAGCTGATGCAGAAGCATGGGGCCTGTGGGGATGAGAAGGAGCAGCATGTGGAGCTGGATGGGCCTTGAACTGCCAGGGACCATGCTGGTGCTTGACAAGACTGGGGCCTGCGGGGCCCGAGGGGTGGAAGGAGGGAAGGAGGGGGCAGGTGGAGGACGGCCTCAAGGGGAGAGGAAGGGTGACGGCAAACGGCTGTGCACGGGGGAGAGAGGACAGGGGCCAGGATGAGGCTGGGGGACGGGCTGGAGGCTCGGACCAGGGGGAGGGGCTGGGTAGTGGGGCTATACTGGTATTTTTTCCTTCTACTAAATTTTTAAAAAGCAACCAAAAAAAGCCCTTGCTGGTGTGGCTCAGTTAGGTGGGGCATTGCTGGGGGTTTGATTCCCAGTCAGGGCACATGCCTGGGTTGTGGATTCACTCCCTGGTCGGGGCATGTATGGGAGGCAACCAATCAGTGTTTCTCTCTCACATCAGAGCTTCTCTCTCCCTCCCTTCCTCTCTCAAATCTATAAGCATTTTAAAAAGTACCACACATACTGAGATGTTAATGTAAAAATATTTCCTTCTTCCTGGTTCTGTAGCTAGCCCATCTGTTCATTTGCACACAGAGAAACGGGGTCAGCTTGTCCTGCCTCTCTTTCCAGCCACGATTCTTTGCATATATGCAAACCCACGCGCCCACTCGTATAGCATACCTGTAGGTCGTGTGATGCAGAGCCTATTGCACCACACATATCCGTAGGCAAATTGCTGTTTTGCATCTGACAGTGTACCCCTTACCCACTTACAAGCCAGTCCGCAGGGGTGTTTCTTCCTTTGTCGTGGCTGCACTGAAGCCTCGGGTCAGCCTCCAGGTCTCTTTCCCACAGTGAAGCTCTGATGCATGGAAGGGGGTGGGCCTTAGAGGAACTGCCTGGTGGGGGGTGGGGGGTGGGGAGCACAGGTTGGGAGGTGGCCCTCGCTGGGAGCTCCTCTTTGACCCTGCACATGCCAGGCTCCCACCCCTCTGGCCACATCCCTAGGGGCCTGGGGCTGAGAACTCCCATGGCTGGAGTGAGTTCGGGCGGAAGGGAGCAGGCTGGGGTCAAAGAGGTTACAGGCCCAGCCTGCCAGAGGGAGGGGGCCGCGCCTGGGCCCTGGACCTGGGGTGTGGGGTGAAGCCAGGAGACTGGCTGGGGCTTAGGACCCCGCTGCCCTGAACATGGCCACCTGTTCCACTTGTCCCCTCAAAGAGTTGGCTCCCAAACTGTTGGCTGCCAGTGGCAATGAGACTGCAACCTGGAAAGGCCCAGCCCCTACCTTCCACACTGAGCTTGAAGAGGACACTTAGTGTGGTTATGCCTTGTCTTCCCAGAGAAGACTCCAAAGGCTTGAAGGCATAGTAGAGCTGGGAGCAGATAGGGAGCCATTCCTTTGGGCTAGGGTGTCTGGGAAGGCTTCCTGAAGGAGGGGGCATTGAACTGGGCTCGCAAGAGAGGCATTTACTGCTGCCAGAGGGCAAGACCGTGGGTGCTGACCCTAGATCTGCCCCGTGCTGTGTGAACTTTGTTCGGCTCCTACTTCTCTGGCCTTGGCTCCTGTTGTGGATCTGAGCCCAGGGCAGGGCCCCAGGCTGGGTTCTGGGACACAGGCTGGCCCCCTGTCTGTCCCGGGAACTGTGCAGGCTGGGGAGCTAGGAAAGCGCTGGAGCAGGAGAGGCTGGTGAGAGGACTTGGCCCCTCCCACCCTGAGCCAGAGGCCGGAGCAGAAGGCCTAGGCTGGGGCGGATGCTTGGGCGCCATGGCTCTGCCCTGTCTCTCTTTGTGACCTTAGGGGAAGCTCTGTTTCCTTTGGCCCTCAGTTTCCAGTGTAGGCTGACCAGGGAATCTCCGATGGGTCAGCATTTGAAAGAACTCAATGTCCCGGATGTCCCAGGTGGGAGGTGGTCTGGGGCTGGAGAGGAGCTGGTCTGCGTGTGCGGACCCGTGGGACAGGACCCTTCTAGGAGCTGAGATCTGGTTCCATGAAACATACGCTTCTAGTCCGTGAATGTTAGTTTCCCTGGGCCTCCCAAGGACCCTGGCATCCTGGGCCTGGGGCCTCGGAGGGAAGGGAGGAAGGTGGGAGTCTACCCTTGGTTGCCCATTGCACACAGTGGGGCTATCGGAGGCCTTGGGATCAGAAAGCCTCGGGGTCTGAATCCTGCCCCGGCAGCCTCCTGGCTGTGTGACCTCGGGCTCATTCCTTAATCCCGCAAGCCTCAGTTTCCCCACCTGTGAACAGGTACAATCATAGCATCTGGGGCCTCTGGGGCTGTTGCCAGGTCTGTGCAGAGCTGTACCTGCTCCAGGCCTGGTGAGGGAGGTGCTGGGAACCCCAGCTCCCTTTCCTGGGCCTGCTGCCTCCCCAGTGGCTACGGGGACCCCGTCCTGAGGTCAAGGGTGAGGGTGGTCAGTCTGTCTGTCTCAGGCCTTTTAGTGTGAAGGGGCCCTAGACTGCTGGGGGGTGGTGTGGGGGACCGAGCGGAGTGGGGGGAGCTGGCTGAAGGGCTGGCCAGCAGCTCCACGCAATCTGTCTGCTATGCAGTCCGGGGCCTGGCCTGTATTTATTTATGCTGAGCGTGTATTTATATCAGCCCCTTTCTCATTAATAGGGCAGGAAATGGCTGGAATTGTTACATACCTGGCGGCCCAGGGGTCCTGCTGGGCCAAGACACACAGGGCCCTGGCCACCCTTCGATGACTGTCAGGGGCCTCTTCTTAGTCCCAGGCCTAAGACCCTGGCCTTCCACTGACCCCCGCTTTGCAATGAGTTCTCCTCTACTTTTCTGAGCTCCTGTTCATGCCCGAGCCCACAGGCCAGAGAGAGAGGGGCTCCTTTTGTAGACCCCTCCCTCACCCTTGGCTTCTGAGCCCACCCCAAGCCCAGGAGAGACTGCAGTTAGTGACTGTCACTGTGCAGCGTGCAGGGTGGGGGCTGCCGGGGCAGCTCAGGACAGCTCGGCCCTGACTGGGGGGCGGGGCCCCAGTGCCCTGGGTGGGAGTCCGGGCAGGAGTGAAAGTGAGAGGTGGTGAGAGGGCCCTCCTGGAGCCTAGGGGTGGTCCCTGGGGCTCTGCCCCCCACGAAGCCAAGCTCCAGGTAGGATAGGACCTGTAGCTTCCTCCCCATGGGACCCCCCCCAGTCCACGGAGGCGGTCCCTGTGTTTATCCGTCGGCAGGCCCGACAGGGTGGGAGCTCATCCCTGTCTCGCCTTCCTGGCCATCATGGCGAGATGAGGCCTCCTTGCTCGGGGCTCAGCAGCCCCTCTCCAGCCCTCATGCGGCACTCAGAACCAAGCCAGCATCTCTCTCCCGGCCCCAGCTCTTGGGCGCGGGCCCCAGGTGGGGCTGCCAGAGCTGAGAGGCGCGGCCCCCTCCCCAGAGCACTTGCCTGACATAACCTATTAGTGCTTTTCGCCTCAGCCGGCTCCCCCAGCCAGCTTCCCCGCCCAGACCAGACTGTGCCGGCCCTGCTGTCCCTCTGCTGGGAGGCTGTGCCAGGACAAGGTTAGAAGGAAGGAGGCTGCGGGAAGTCCAGACACACTAGAGGGTAACTGTGCCTCTTCACCCCTGCCCTCTGCTGGGGACCAAGGGATGCTATCCACCCAGAGGCCTCTTTTAGGCTGGGCCTCCTGGCAGCCGCCTTGTGGTCATGCGAACCTGACCTCCAACCTCTGCCTGCTGCTGCTACCATGTCCTGCTGGCTCAGAGTCCAGAGCTGGGGTCACTGTGCAGACATGGGGACAGAAGCATAGAGGAAGGAGGGCTTTCCCTTCGTTCTCATTCCTGACCTCTCAGGGATACTGCTAGGGTCTGGTGGGAGGGCATGGGAAGGGGGCAGGGCGTGGCGACACTGAGGAGGGGGCTGCTGGGAGATTTCCAGTTCTTCGGGCTGCAGGCCCCCTGGGTGGTGGGACGGGCTGCTGCCATCTCAGGACCCTGCCGGGGCTGCCGCGGCGGTCCCTGGGCTCCTCCAGTCTGTCACGGCGTGTGGGGCGGAGGCGCTCTCCGGGGCAGGAGGATCAGGCCCCGGGAGGGCACCTCCTCTGGGTTCCCTCATGAGTACTTCTCCCCAACACCATGCTGGGCCACTGGCCTGCAGAGCCCCCAGACAAAGCCCAGACCAGGGGCCGGTCCCTAGTTGCTCCTCTAGTCCTGCCTGGCCCTGCCTGGGTGGCCCTGGACAGACTGGCTCTTCTGGGAGCTGCCCATTCATGAGGTGGGAACACCACATCCCACACAGGAGCTGTGCTGTGGGGAACTGATGTGGCAGGTGAGGGTGGCCGTGAGTGGGAGTGTTACTTTTACCTCTGCGGCTTGTTAGCTGAGTGCCTGGGTTGGGGGTCAGCGGTCAGCCTGGGTCCTGTGTCTAGCTGGGCTCCTGCTTCTGCACTTCCCAACTGGGTAGACGTGTCTGGATTAGGGGGATGCTGAGGGGTGGGCCGCCAGGGTAAGGCTCCTTCCCCCGAGATCCTCTGGGGGGTGTCCCCCACCCCTCAGACCCTGCCTGGAAGGCCAGGGTCATGTCCCCTCCATTGCTCAGCCAGAGGTGTCGAGGTTGCCTCACTGTGTGGGGCAGAGGGCATCTGTGTGGGGGAGAGCAGAGCCAGGCATCTGTGCCCCTCTTAAGTCACCTGTCATTTAAGGGACCTCAGGCCCTCTGCTCCTGTTGGGGCCCCTGCCTTCCCTGGCTGTGCGACCCTGGGCAGGTTCCTAGGCTCTGTCCCTGTTCATGCAACGAGGCAGAAGCCTTTGGACTCCATAGTTCTCGAGTCGGAGTTTTTTTGAACCCTGAACCCTTTTTGGCCCTGGGGCCCGTGGGCTGGGGGTGGGGTGCTGAAAAGGGTGTGAGTGGAGAGGCCCCCTGGCCCAGCCCCCAGAGCTCCAGGCCTCCTGAGCCCAGGTGCCGCCCCGCAGCCACTCCTGCTCAGACCGCACACATCTGGAGCTGTGGCCCACCCCCATCCAGGCCCACATCTGGAGCCCAAAGCCGGCTAGCCGACTAAACACAGAGCATCTGGGCCCCAAAGAGCCTGCTCCCAGGTTAATGCGGCCCATCTGGACCCCTGGCCACTGCTCCGACTGTCTCCACAGCGGAATGCTGGCTGCACATCTGGATGGCTGAAGCCCTGTGGCCACCCCTCCCCACCTCCCTGCCCTGCTGGGTATGGAGTCGAGGTGCCTGGGGTTCCCTGCCCTGAGGAGGGGCTTCTCTGCACAGCGCTGCACTCTTCCTTTCTGGATGACTCGGCTCACAGGCTTCTCTCAGGCGCTGCCTTGGGAGTAGCTCAGTTTGATACGATGTAGACACATGTGCCTTGCCAGGAGCTGTGACAGCTGCCACTTTGCAGTAACTCACCTGGCAGTCCCTTGGCATTGCTATTGCCCTTGGGGGACCTCAGTATTGTCTGCCTTCCCACCCCTGCTGAGGTGCCCAGGGTTCTACAGGGTATGCCACCAGCTGGGAGGGGTCCCTGTCGCAAAGCCCATGCCACACAATGAGCTCGGCTGTCACTTTCGTTCTCCCCCTTCTCTGCCAACACCTGTGTTCAGCAGGATGGGGCCAGCGGTCTCCCCTGAGGCCTCAGACTCAGAGAAGGGATCCTGGAAAAGGAAGATGCCTGGGGGAACTGGGGCTGACCTGCGGGAGAGACCACCTTGGGGCAAGGGGCTGCTGGGCAGACACACACCCTGGGCCAGCCAGGGGAGAAGGCCGGTCTGGGTTGGAGGAAACTTTTGACCTGAGAGAACTGCCAGTGGTGGCCCAAACTGACTCCTCCCCAGTGGGGTCACAGACCCTGCACTTCTGCTCTCACTGGGGACCTGGGACCTTAATGAGTGAGGTTGTGAGAGTCTTAAGTCACTGTGATTGTGGCCATGAGCTCCCCACCATGGGGGGCATCCAAGCTGGTAGGGCTGCTGACCATCAGGAAAACAAGAGCCAAAGCTGTGTTAGACAGCCTTGTAGCCCTACACTCAAGCCCTATAATGCCAAGATTCAAGGATTCTGAGATGCTGCCTTCTCAGACCCTGAACCTCTGGTGACAGGAGGTACAAAGAGCCACAGGGCAGAGGCCACATATTTGGCATGTGGGATGGTGAAGGAAGCGCGGGGAGAGGGGCCCTGGGAATGCAGAGAAGTGTCACCAGCCTGTGGCCTGGGGCTGAGGCACTTACTGCCTCCACTTCCAGAATGGCTGCAGCTCAGGGGCTGGCTCAGCCTCCCAGGCTTGGAGCGGGAACACGGAGCCTGCTGTCCTTCATCCTGTGGTCCAGCTTTATCAGAGCATCACTGGCCCCGATTGAAAGGAATCCTTTGTTGCCGAAGACTCCAGCTTGGACTTCTTGGAGCAACACGCATTTTAAACCACAGAGCTTCACGTCTCCTTCCGCACACCCTTACCCATGGAAAATATGAGTCAATGAACATGCGAGACGGAAACACAAATAAAAAATAATGAGGGCTAGCGTTTATCGAGTATTCACTATGGGCCAGATACCTTCTGAGGGCTTTCCTTGCATTAACTCATTCCAGCCTCCCTGCGAGAGAGGTGCCGTTGTTATCACAAACCCATTGTACAGATGGGGAACCTGAGGCTTAAGGTCCACTCAGCCATTAGGTGGCAGAGCTGACATTCAGACCAGGCAGTCTGCCTCCAAAATCTGTGTCCTTAACCATTGCTCTTCATCGCCTCTCTGCAAGCAGGGTATATGCGGGGGGCAGGGGTGCGCAGGGGGCTGAGAGAGAGGTGTGCAGAGTGAGGCGGAGAGGGGCATGGGTCTTAGGCCCTGACAAATGATGCTGCTCTCCCAAGCTCAAGCCATAAAGCATAACTGATTGAGTTACAGGGCCACCCTGTCCTGTCCCCCAGGCCTTCAGATGACATGTCCAGGCATCCAAGTGTAGTCCCCCATCTTGCCAAGGGTTCCAAAGCAAACAGGCAGGCTTCACTTCATCTGAGTCTCCCTGGCGAGTGACAGAGCTGGTCCCCCTGGCTTGTCTGGAAGGCAGGAGTCTGGGGCAGCTGCGGGCCGCGAGGCACATCTGCTCTGTGCCGTCTCCTGGGGAACACCTGGCCCTGAGGGTGAGGCGTTGTCTGGAGTGTCGCTCGGGGCTTCCTGGGTGAGGGCCGGGGGGTCTCCGTGGGTGTGTACGTGTGTGTGTCGGCATCGACGGGGGCTTCTCTTTGCTTCGGTTGCCACGTGATCTGCCTGAGGAATGAAGCAGACGGAAGGAGGAGAGGGCATCTGGGGCAGTTGGCATCATCTTTGGATGCTCCTGACTGACCTTCCTTGTCCTGCAGGTGCCTTCCCAGCACCCAGAGCCCTGGCCCCCAGCACAAACGTAGCAGCCACCCTCCCTGGGTGCTTCCCTCATTCCCAGCGACTTGGCGAGGACTCTGCCATGATGTAATGGTGTCTCATGTAATCCCACAGACGTGATGGGAAGCTGTCATTGCCATCTTCATTTTGCGAAGAAACTGAGGCTCAGACAGGGTAAGTCACTTGTCCATACAGCTGAAACCCCCTCGCTTAGCCCCTAATTCCCATCCCCGCTAAGGGGGCTGGGAAGAAACCTCCGTATCCCCAAACTCCTGGGGTAGGGCCAGGCTTCCCAGAGCTCCAGCCTGCCGCCCCCATTCCCTGGCTGGCTGGCTTCAGTGAGGCTCAGCCTAGCTTTGGGTGGGGGTGGGGGCGTGGGGAGAACTGGCCCAGGGCCAAGGGGGAGAACAATGGGAGTGAAAGGAGCGGAAACCTTCTCTGAGTGAGAGGGAGGGAGGGAGGCCAGGCCAGCAGGGGTTTCTTCTACTCAGGCTGGGTCCCTGGGCCCACAGGCCAAGGGACAGCATCTGGGGAGGGGATGCCCGGGCTATTCTCTCCATGTGAGATGGAGGGACACTGGCCTGACCCTGCATGGGGAGACTGAAGCAGGAAGGACTGACACAAGTCCTGTGCTGTGGTCCTGGGGGGTCTTGGCTTTCCCTGGGGGGTCCCAGCCTGAGGAGAGAGTGGAGGATGGTTCTGGAAAGACCCAGATGAATGTGACTTCACCCTCCTGAGTTTGGTGAGAGGTGGAAGCCGCTGGCTCAGCCCTGACAGTACCGTTTTGCACCCCACCCCAGCAGGCTGGGGTGCTGGGAGAGGTGAGGGGGGCTCAGGGCCCCACCTCAGACCACAGAGAAGGGCCTGGCTTGACCCCTAGTCAGCCTAGCTGCCCCTGTGGTCTCTCCAGCTGAACTTCCTGTGGCCCTTCCTGGCCTCTCATTCCCCTGTCCCCCACCCCCTGCTGTCCTTCGATGCCCATTATGTTATTTGAGTTACAGATGGGGCAGCTCTGGCTCAGCTGGTAGCTGGGGGAAGAGCCCAGAGCCTAGATCGCCTGCCTGCGTTCATCCTGGTCCCCAGGCCGGGTCTCTCCGGAGCCAGTGTTCTGCTCAGTAACCTGAGAAAATGTGTCCTGCCTGAGCCTGGGACAGGACACTGGTTCTCAAAGTGGCCTTTGGACACCTGTGGCCCTGCCGCCGTGCTCACTCAGAGCCCCAGCTGCCAGGATGGCAGGGTTCAGTGCGTGTCTAGGTGTCCTGGTTGGGCCGAGGTTCCCAGAACTGACCCCACACTGTCAGGTCAGCAGCTCCATCGGCTGGTCTGAGGGACGTTGTGGCTGAGAGCTCAGCCCGGAGCCCCTCACGTGGGGGGCTGCCATCTGGCTCTCTGCCAATAGCCCCTGGCCTTACCATGGGCGTATCTCGTGCTCTCTGGGTGTGCTGTGGCAGGGGCCCTGCTGCTGGGCCTGCAAGGGCCCTGTTCTGTCCCCTTCCCCACGCCAGACCCAGGAGGGCCCTCAGGAGCGGTTCTGATCATTCACATCTGGAGGAAGACTGTTACTAATGGACGCTCAGGGTGGGCCTCCCAGGTCTGTCTGAGGGCCCAGGTCCCCCTATTTCCTTCCCTGAGCAAAGGGTTGGAGGTGAGGGGCTTTGACCGCTCCTCCAACCCACAAACATTCTGGGCGCCTCCTTGGTGCCAGGCTGGGCCTGGGAAACAGAGGTCCTTGCTTGGGGTGACTCCTGGCTGTGCCGTTCACCAGGTGCCTTAGATCACTCACATCCTGCCTCTGGCCTCAGTTTCCCCCTCTGAGGGGTGGGGTTGGACTTGCAGTGTTGAGGGGCCTTCCAGCTCTTGCTTGGGTGAAGACCACCTCTCGCCCTAGTGTCCATGCCCTTCACCCACTCATACTCCCAAGGCAACGGGGCTCCCCGCCCAGGCCCCAGGCTGCGCCTGCGACGGTCCCTCTGGGCAGGCTCCCAGACAGCCTGGCTCTGGCCTGTCCCCCTGGACCCTGCGGGCTGTGTTACCAACAGCGAGAGAGGGTCCTCCTGCCTTCCCCTCTCTTCAGGGCCATGCAGCGGGAAGCTTGTCAGAGGGCAAATTCTCCCAGACAAACCAGGCCAGTCAACAAACAGGCGACCAAAACAACAAGGAAAGATTACGAAACCCAGATTCAGGGAAAGAGGCCACTCTGAGCCTCTCCAGGACAGGGGGTGGCGAAACTGGGCCAGGCCTGTGGGTCAGAGCCTGCCTGGCCCGCACTATTTTTGTACTGTCTGGGGGGTGGGGACTGATGAAATCCCAGCTGCATTTCACCAAAACACTTTCCCCTTAAGCCCGGGCTCCATGTGGTTCAAATTCATTGTCACTTAACTCATCACTCAAGGCTCCGAGCCGCACCCCTCCCCCCACAAGAAAGACGAAAACACGCAGTCTCTGGCGCTTGGTCGAGGTGGGCGTGAGGGGCTGTGACAAGCAGGCTGGCTGCCTTGACCTGAGTTGTCCCCAGCAGCCTGCCCCTCCATCTTCCCTGCTCCTCTGTGCTCAGCCCCAGTTTCCTCACAGGTAGTGAGAAGGGGCTGCCGCTGTACTCCTGGGCCCGGCTCCGGGCCCGGGGTCACCGACTCCCTCCCCTCCACCCACCCCGCTGCTGGAAACAGGAAGCTGACGAGCCTGGAAGGTCTGCGTGCAGGAACGCGGGAGGCCACTCCACGGCAGTGTCACGTGCTGACGTGTCTGTGGCAACAATCGAGAAGCCCGGCTGCCTTCTCTTGTTGCTTTTCACAGCCTTTGCTGGCTGGCACCTGGAGTTCTTCACCTCAGGGCTGTGTTGGGATTGGCGAGGGCAGACTCTGAACGCAGGGGACGGGCTGCTGGCAGGGGAGCCACCAGAGGGCATGTCAAACGTGGGGACAGGGACCTCGGCTCCTACGAACTGCGCTGACGCTGTGGCTTCCGGAGCCGTCGGTGCGGGTGCATTTGGTGACCGCCCCCAGCTCATCCCACCCACGGGAGCACCATCCCTAGAGCCCATACTTCAGCCAACACCAGGCTGGCATTTCTCGGGAGGAACTTCAACTGGGGCAGAGCTCCTTCCCCTGCCTGCCCTCCTATTCCATCTGGGGGGTCCACCTCTTCCCCTAGACTAGGAGCTTCTCCAGGGTGGGATGGCGACCGAAGCACCCCTGCATCCCCAGTGCCTGGTTTGGGGCTTGGCCCAGAATCCAGGAGCGGCAGATGCTTGTTGAATGAATTAATGCATTTCTCAAATGACATCAAAGTGCTAGTTTTCATTATCTTTAGGCCATATTAATCCAGAGCCATGCTCTCCAGACAAATGTTGACAATCTGGCTTTTGTGTAACCCATATCAGGGACAGAGCTCTTGTTCCAAGAGAGAGGCGACCCCTGAGCTCCTCTGTCACCACACTGGGGAGGACTAAGACCCCTTGTGCTCTGGTGACCTCCCTTCTGGGACACCCCTCCAGCTCCGGCCTCCAGGAGCAGACTGAGGGGGCAGCAGGGTGGGGCTGCAGGAGTTTGCTTTCCTGGGCAGGGCCAGGCAGTTCCTGAAGCAGCGGGGTTGTTTGGGTGCAAACATTTCCCTGTATTGTCTGGCTTCAGAAGGCAGCCAAGAGTCTAGGCAGGAGGGAGGGGGCTGCGGCAGGGTTTTTCTCCACTTCACCTCAGAGAGAACAGGAGCCTAGAAGCTCACAGGTGGGGGTGGGGAGGCTGACCCAGGTCCTGGGGGGTGCGGAGGGACTGGGAGAAGACAGAATGGGGAGCTCCACTGGGCAGTGTTGAGTAGTCAGGGGAGACAGGAATTGGTCTTTGGTGCAAGTCCAGACAGAGGACGAGGTGACACCTGCCCTGGGGGATGCTGCGAGAGTCCAGTTGCCCCGCTGCTGGCGGGTGCTGAAGCCTGCTGATGCCTCTCCCAGGAGCAGCAGACACCCAACCTACCCTCTCAGCTAGGCATGACCCTCTTCTGAGGCTTTGGCTGGATGACATCTTTTCTGGGACAGTGACTCTGGAGCTGGGGTCTTCTCGGGGTGGAGAGAGGGATGTCCATGCTGAGCCCTTGTGAGTCTCCAGAGAGTCCCTGCTCTCTCTGTCTCAGGGCCTTTTAACAAGACGCTCCCCTTCCTGCTGCTCCCCTCCCTGGAACACAGCAGAAAGAAGCTCATCTCTCTCGAGATGGTAGTGCTGCTGTGCATTTTGGGTGTGTTCCCCAGTGCTGTTCCATGGGCTATTGTTCTGGGAGAGAAAGAAAATGTTCTGGGTCCCATTAGCTGGGGAAGTACTAGATTCGACAAGTTCAGACAGGCTTCTCTCTTGCAGGACTTCTCAGGGCCTTTCCTTGTCAACAGGGACTTTGACCTGCTGAGAAGGGGCTCTGGTGTGCAGCATTTCCCCATGGAATCTTTCAGGACCTACTGTGGGCCATGCAGGCTTAGAGGACACTCAGGGAGAGATGGCAGCTGTGAGTGAAGGTGACGAGTGGAAGATCACCCAGCATGGGGCGAAGTGGGCCTCGGGAGGTCCCGTGGTGTTGGTGCGGGGCTCTGGCCACAGGGTGTGTCCTCACTTCCTCACCTGTGAGAGCTGAGCTGGCAGGTGGGCCGAACAAGTTGGTGCAAGGACAGACCTTGTCTGTCTCTCTAACTTATTCTGAAAACACTAGCCATGATCCACTCACCACGGCCAAGGTCGGGCAATGCCCAGGCAGCTGGGCCAGGGCTGCACTCACCAAGCTGGTGTGAAGGCCTGTGGGGGCAATCCCAGCCTCAGGGAAGATGCAACACAAAGCCCAGTCTGGGGGAAACCCAATCTGGCTCTCAGTCTGTTACCCAGACTCAGAGCATGCTGGGTTCTCACCCCACT